GTTCCACCTCTTCAGCCTACACTTAAAGGAAAGATCTACTAACACTGAACCTCACATATGGAGCTTGGTACAGTTAAAGTGGTTCTGATTTGCAAAACCGTAAAATTTTAAACAAACAAAAAAATCCATTCTGCTCACCACTGTATGTCTAGTATCCAACTCAGCCCTTAAATAAGATGCTCAATAAACATTTGCAGAATGCTGAATATTGAAATGGTTGATATGAAATGAGGTATGAACCCAGGTTACCAAACTCATACTAGAATAACACCTAGTTATTATATGAAATCTTTTCTTTCACGTATTTTTTTTCTACTCCTTCTACTATGTGAAATCTTTTTCATAGCTCTCTAAAATAACACCTATGCGAAACCTAAAGGACTGTTACAATATCCTCTAAGAAAAAGTAACATTACCTGTTACATTTGAAAGCCTGGTATGAACCATTTAGACCACAGTTTAAAACCCAAACCAATAATTCTATCATTTTCATTTCTAAATATCTGCTACCTGAATTAAGCAAAGTAACTGTCCACTCCTAGGTGAAGTAGCAGTAAGACACCAGTCTTAATTTCATCATCACACACTGATTATCACCCTCATACAGACTATCCTTAATATTTAATATTTCATTTTCTCTGATGATTCAGAATGTTTTTTGTTCTTGAGACAGGGTCTCACTCTGTTGCCCAGGCTGGAATGCAGTGGTATGACCACAGTTCACTGCAACCTCAAACTCTGGGGCTCAAGGGATCCTCCCACTTCAGCCCCCTGAGTAGCTGGGACCACAGGCGTGCACCACCACACCCAGATAATTTTTTTTATTTGAAGTAGAGACAAGATCTCACTGTATTGCCCAGGTTGGTCTCAAACTCCTGGCCTCAAGAAATCCTCCTGTCTCAGCCTCCCAAAGTGCTGGGCTTACACATGTGGGCCACTAGGCCCAGTCAAGAATGATCCTTAATTTCCTAAAGTTTCTTGCATTTATATTTGGGACATTTCTTGCCTTATAAGAAACTTCAGACAGGCTGGGCATGGTGTCTCACTCCTGTAATCCCAGCACTTCGGGAGGACAAGGCAGACAGATCACCTGAGGTCAGGAGTTTGAGACCAGCCTGACCAGCATAGTGAAACCCCATCTCTACTACAAATACAAAAATTAGCCTGGCGTGGTAGCAGGCACCTGTAATCCCAGCTACTACAGAGGCTGAGGCATGCAAATTGCTTGAACCTGGGAGGCAGAGGTTGCAGTGAGCCGAGGTCACACCACTGTACTCCAGCCTGGACGACAGAGCAAGATTCTGTCTCAAATTCTGCCCCCCCCCCAAAAAAAAAAGAAAGAGAGAGAGAAAAGAAACTTCAGATATAAACACTGTGCAGCATCTTGAAAATAATTTGTCACCGTGGAATTTTTTTCCTTCTAAAAATTTTCCTGTCAGTTTGACATTTACTACTGTTTCTCTCACAAAAGCACAATGTAAAAAATTTTGGAGTGAGGGACTGGATAATTACTTGTTGGATATAATGTTCACTATTTGGATAAAGGGTACACTAGAAGCCCAATTCCCTGACTCTGCAATATACCCAATAACAAACATGCACATGTACCCCAAAATATAAAATAAAATTAAAAATTGAGGAACTGAAGCTACAACAAATTGTTTTATTTTGAAATACATGCCATGAATGTAACTTCATTCTATAGAAAGACATGACCTATCATGGATATATAACCCAAAGGAAATGGGCTTCTGTTGCAATATAAAGAATCTGAACTTAATATTCCTTAAAGAAAAAAAATATATTGTCAATAAAAACTTTAAAGGGACCAGAATGATGGCTCACTCCTATAATCTCAGTTCTTTGGGAGGCCAACGTGGGAGGATCACTCGAGCTCAGGAGTTTGAGACTAGCCTAGGCAACACAAAGATCCCCGTCTCTACAAAAAAAATAAGAAAATTAGCCACACGTGATGGCATGCATCTGTAGTTCCAGCTACTTGGGAGGCTGAGGTGAGAGGATCCCTTGAACCTGGGAGTTTGAGGCTGCAGTGAGCCTGGATGATGCCACTGCAACCCAGGGCAACAGAATGAGATCTTATCTCAAAAAAGAAATCCAGCTACTTGGGAGGCTGAGGTGAGAGGATCCCTTGAACCTGGGAGTTTGAGGCTGCAGTGAGCCTGGATGATGCCACTGCAACCCAGGGCAACAGAATGAGATCTTATCTCAAAAAAGAAAAAAGAAAAAAAAATACTTTAAAGGTAGAACAAGGATTCAATCTTCTCTGCAGGTTTAAAAAGAAAAAAGTTTTTCAAATGTCTAGAATGGCTGAGACTTGGCCTAACATTTGGCAATGAGGCAGAATCAGTTCAAAGGTCAGTCTGACCCAAAGGATTCAAATCCCATCTATGGGTCACACAAACAAAACATCAGCAAACTGCATCCTTCTGCTCTGCAGCTATCCAGTCCCAGCTTTAGTACTTGCCAACCTAACTCTGGAAATTACCCTAACTGTTAATTAATATGTCAATTATGGAGAATTATTCCTTCCAACTACTGAAACTTTTGCTTCTCAACAGCATTCTGCAATCCTTTAATCTTGTTTTTCTAACATTACCAGAGAGGAAAAATATTAATATTCTGTGATGCAATCAATATCTTCTCTATTAACAATACCCTGTTCCACACTGTTCTATACAAACATGGATTCTACCCTGAATTTCAGAAACCACTAGGAAAATAACAGATAACAGAGAAATTAGAGCTCTTAGGTTTAACTTAGAGCCAAAATCAAAAGAGAAGAGACAATTCAGAGAGAGGAAGGAAGAAGCTGAGAGGGTCGTAGTGTAGAACACTTACTTTCAGGAACACAGTGTCCCTTAGATTTCTGGTGAGTTGCCCAGAGCCTCTTCAGTTTCAATCCAAATGACAATGCTTCTCTGAGTCCTCCTCAAGTAATGTTTCCACCACTAAAAATTGGATCTACAAGAGCTCGGATGTACCGGTTAAAAACAAAAAAAAAGTCAGGGGCCCCCAGGTGGGCCTCAAGCCTCTTTTAAACTAGGCCCACTTCTCTGTCCTGGGCCAACTCCCCTGTGTACTATATTCCTTCTTCTTCCAGGTGCCAGGTATTCAGCCTGTTTCTTCTCTTCTGAGCTGCCACCACCTACTCTATTTCTCAGGGTTCCTCTAACCCCAAGACTGGCTGTGGAGTAGGACACCAGCTTCCCCCCTTCCTTGCTGTCCCTGCAAATAAACATATAGGCTCTTCTAGTTTCAGTATTTTTCTAATGGCTACAAGAAAATAGAGAGGGAACAACAAAAAGCAATAATATATAGTACCAGAGATCAAGATTATAATAATTGTCTCCACTTTAATGTTCCTGCCTCCAAAAAACAAATTTTCTAAATATTGCTTACTAAGCATTTTAAAAAGCACAAAGTACTAACACGGATATACAAATACACTCTAAACCAACTCCAACCTTACACAGCCATTAAGATACTCTGCTTTTCAAAATACTTAAATCACAAAACACGGGTCCAAAAATAGTAACCACAATCATTTTAGCAAATACTTTTTTTCTTTTTGGAATGTTCTGTTGTAATCCCTTAAATTTAGCATATGTCTAAAAGTTGGCTTTCTGAGCATAAAAAATGTTCAAAATATTTTATCCACTGTAAATGAGAATTAATAAATGGGTCCAAAATTAGTAACCACAATCATTTTAGTATATACTTTTTTCTTTTTGGAATGTTCTGCTGTAATCCCTTAAATTTAGAATATGTTTGAAAGTTTGCCTTTTGAATATGAAAAATGTACAAAATATTTTATCCATTGTGGGAATATACAAAAAGCATATAACATTTACAAAAAATAAGCATGTCAAAGCCAGCGAGTTTCACTGAGAAAATTTTCAAATAAGTTACTGTCAACCATTCCTGTCTCTACATTTCAAACTTAATAAAATTCTGTAGTGTTTTAAAAAAAAATCAAGATCTCATTTTTTAGAAATCTAACGTCTGAATATTTGCATATGTCAATATCATATATGCCCTTTTTTAAAGCAACACTAAGATAGATTAGTATGCTTATTGTTATAGTTTAGTCTCTAATGAACTTTGTAACATCAAAATATATATCTTCTCTACATATTAAGTAATAAATCACAGGATTATATTTAATTCAAAGGGTACCTTCCTATAAAAATCAAGGAGCTCGATAACTAAGTGCTGACAGATTAAGAATGCCAGACTGAATTTCCTGGATGATTTTCTTTATCCACTTAATTCAAAGTCGTTTTTTAAAAGACAGAGTTATTACACTGCAAGCTTACAATAAATAAAGTCTGAAAATGGGCAGAGATCTTTTCATCTCATTTGTCTAACAGACTGCCATTTAATCAAACTAAAGATATGCAGGTACTTTCAGTAAAAATCTGTTCCTGTGACTGGGCTCATCTCCAACTCCTTATTTATAAAATATTAGAGAACTGGCATAAAAACACTAAATAAAACCTTGATCTGACCCTTCCAGAAGTCCATATAGAAAAGAAGTTTAATATATTGTGTATTCTGCAATCAGATAGTTTTTTTAGGAAGGAAATTAAATTACATCCTTTGCTCCTAAAGAGGATTTTATGGGTTTTCCTTGATCCCTACACACTAACACAACAATGCAGCCAACATTTTTATACCCAGAGTGGGGAGAGGGACATTACACCCGGCGATACGAATTAAATCGCAGTAGCTAATGCCTCCCATAAATAATTTATTCTCTCTTGGCAGCAAAAAACCTTACAGCCTCTTCAATTACCCCTCACCGCAAACCATCGCCTGGGTTGCGATCAATGTGACCCAGTTCCTATTGCCACAGCCACCTCCGTCTCGCCTCCTCCCGCCGGGTCCGCGAATGTCATGGGAGGGGGCGGCAGCCGCAGGGGCGTCCCCTGGTCGTCACCCCGCCAGCCGGCGGCGCGCGGGGCAGGCCTGGGACTCACCGGGTGGAGGTGCCCTTCCGCACATCGCACATCATGCACTTGAAGGCCTCGGCGCTGTTCCGGAAGGTGCAGACGCTACAGTCCCAGTAACCCTCATCTGAGGACGGCTTCGGCTGCCGCTTCGGCCTGCAGGACACAACCCGGACACGACGCGGCGCGGGGTCACCAG